TATATTCTCATTTATTTATATATTTATTTTAGTATGTATAAGTTTATTTGTTGAGTCACGAAGAAAAAGCATCATGTACGAGTATTTTTTTGCCATCAGTGAGCAAAGGAAAAAAAGAACAATATCGAGAATCGAGATAACATCGCATCGCTGTTAAGCGCGAGCGCTCACGGTTGCTCTTATAAACTACTTTCTTATACAAAAAAAAAAAAAAAAAAAAAAAAAAAAAAAAAAAAAAACTAAGAAATGCGCCCATTTAAAGCGCACATCATCGCGGGAGTATCATCGGCGAGAAACGCCGATTCGAAAATCGAGTCGCCTGGCCATTGTCGTTGCCGCCCGTCGTCGTTGTCGTCACGTCGCCCGTGCCTGGTCGTCGAAGATCAGTGATTTCTCGTGCGCGCGAGGGTGGCAAATCGAATCTCAGAGAACGTTCGCGCGATCAGAAGAAGATGGAAAAGCGAGGAAAAGTCGAAGGGCCGCGCTCGCCTGAGGGTATCGAGAGGCGAGGAGATATAGGGAAAGGCAGCCGGCAGCAGCGGCGGCGAGGGAAGGCGGAAGAGAGTTGGAGAGGAGGGTTCAGGCGACGTGCGAGCGCACAGGGGGCCCTAAGAGTGCACCGGGTAGAAGAGGGATAAACGGGGGAGGTTGAATCGGCGCTTGCGTGATACCGTCCCTATCTACTTGTCAGCCGACCAGAGCTGCCACCACCCCGGCGCGCTGCCTCTCTCTCTCTCGCGACGCCGCGCTACTCGATAACAAACTCTACAGTACCAGTACTGGCACGGTACTCCGGACCACCGGATCGCCCTCTTGCCGTCGCCACCGGTGGCACATCGGTAACGAAAATCGCGATCCGGGCGCACGCGACGATCTCGCGTCTCGGCCGTACGCTCGATGACTTCGGACTCACGCACGATTGCGCGCTACTTTTTTCCTGTCACTCCGCGGACAAGTGTTTCGGTAGATCTTCCGGTTCTCCACTTTCTTTCTCTCCCCCCCTCCCCTCCCCCAAGAAGGATCCCTCATGGATCTCCATGGGGATGCATCTTGCGATTGGTATCCCAGCGTGCGCTAAGACACGCGTCATTGATCGCGATCGCGATAGGACCGATACGGGAAACTTTCAAGTTTCATCTTTCTATCATACTTCTTTCTCACATACTTCCGGTATAATTTTTCGTCTGAGATACACACACATTGGACCCATATTTGTTTCCAAAATTTACAATAATTAATTTTGAAAAAGACAATTATTATTACCTTGCGATATTTTATTGACACTTGTATGTGCAGTTCGCAAAAACATGGTAGAATTTTTATTTTGTCACTCTCGATTAAATAGATAAAACTTTTAAGTGTGGGCGTAGGTTCGGACGTGGATGTTGACGTTATTCGGTGGACCCAGGGCTAAATTTCCTACGGGCCGGCTTCACCGATGTCGATTAACGCAAACTGTGATTGACTGAGGGTCGGTTGTAGCAACGTCGCTTAGGGCTCTGACATCGGTTAAGTCAATTTTCTCTCGCTCCCCGTTCATATCGTAGATAGGACTATAATCTACAAAGGGACGGCCAATCACTGAGCCGGGTTTGCCCGACCTACATGATTGATGCAACTCGACCTAACTGCGTTCTCCATCTATACGTTACAAAGAGGGATGAATGACGTGAGGATTAGTGCACTCGAGGAATCCTACCGGTCCGCAGCCACTCGAAATTGTATTCTGTATTACGGCTAGTGCGATCTACAGAATGACGGAGGGATCGATCGAACCACGCATGGCGTTAATCGACGAACCTGTGAAACCCGCCGACCCTTTGTCCACCCCGAAAAAAGATCGCTCGGCCGTCCACCTTGCCGTTCACTTTATACGCTACCGGTTATGGTGTATAACTTGTTGCTCCCGGGCAAACAAACGTGCAGTGGCCGCGGATTGCAATTTCAGATCTTCGAGCCGGATGCCGATGGCAGATTGCCACGTTCGCTTTCAGAGAGAATATATATGTATATATATATTTTTTTTTTTCTTTTTTTTCCATTGCGTCTCTTGCCTCCGTTCGATTCGGCTGGACGATAAAAACGGACGGCCGTCGACGTGCATTTGTTACTCGGAAGCGATGAGGATGGAGCAGAAAACGAGGGGAAAAGCGAAGAGAGAGAGAGAGAGAGAGAGAAAAAGAGAGAAAAAAAGAGAGAAGGATAGAGCAGAAATATCGCGAAGAATATACGAGATCCCGATCCCATCCTACTCTCCGCTGACCTTCCTCGTTATTTGCGGCTTAGAACGGCTGCAGAACAAACACAGTCGTCGCGACCATTCACCGATATTTGCCGCCGCGATTATCCTCGCTTTCCCTCGCCGATCATGGATTTTCGTCGCGACGACCTACCTCGACCTCCGAAGCGGGCTCAATCGCTAGCCGATTAAACGCCGCCGGAACACGGATATCAGGCAAATTGAAAAGTTTGAAATCGCTCCCCCGAGCCTTCGAAACCTCCGTCTTTCCTTCCACGAGAAACGTGATCAGCAGCTGAATATATTGTAATTCGCGGATCGAGATTATACCGCCAGGTTTCCTCTCGATTTCGGATAATTTGCACACTCGACGTTGATCGCACGTTGAAAATTGCTCGCGGACGAGAGTGCTTCGCGATAAGAAGATTCGTTTAAACGCGAAGGAGAGATATAGCGGTCTGTTTTCTTAAATAATTAGTTAAAATAAACCGTGGTTCAAATAATCCCTCGTCGACTTCGAGATAAGGAATTAAAAGGATAGGGAGAATCGCTTAAATTTTTGTTGAATTTAATAAATGTTTCAGAGAAAAGGTACAAGGTGCCATCTCGATGACAATTGTCATCTCGCAGTCGCGATTCCGCTCGCGTGTCTTAGCGTTTGCGTCTCGCTTTAGCTCTTTCTCTGCCACACAGAAAAAATTCAATTTCGCGGGGCGGCGCGGTGGACTGACAAATTGAATTCTTCTCAGTTGTCTTTTAGATCCTGGGAAAAAGAGGATTGAATACATTCTGACGAAGGGCTTTATTTATTTAAAAGAGGCCTCTCGTGAAGCCTCTCGCATGCACGGGCACGGCTCGCTCACAAAAGTGACATTCGATTTCAGGGCTGAGTCGCGAGCGCGATAAATTGACTGGGTAAACAGGGCGAAAGCTCCTTGCGGATTCCACATCCCCCGAATCCCTCCGAGAAGTGGCGGGGATTAAGCAATTACCGCGTTAGTCGAAGTGGACTTGCACTTTTCGACTCGTTTCGACAGACCGCGCGCAGCGCTCCTTCGCGAAACGTGAGCTGTCGAATGCGCGCCGCGAAGATTAAGTAGTTACGGATCAGTCTGACCGTGACCGCCTTTTTCCACTGCTTAAAATTCCTCAGTCGACCGACCGCGTGGATTTCTTGATGAAGTTTGATAAAGTGAAAGGATTAAATAGTTATGGGTCGAGTACTACGAGATTTAATTGATACTTTCGCTCGAAATCCGACGCGGTTTTTCTTTTCCCAACTTTAAATCTTTATCGGATTTAGGTGATTTCGGACGTATCAAATAGATGTAAGTAAGAACTTTCTACGCGAATTTCCCGAGGAATGTTTTGCGGCGTTTCAAGCGATTCTCAGTTTCTCCCCCGCGCCGTTCCAACAAATAAGAACTGAATAAGACTTTTTTCTATCGAGAATTCCAATTGTTCTATAGGTCGATTGTGAGCTTCTGCTCTCAAGGCTCCACCAGTAAAAAATGAACTCCGTCTTAATGACGACTACGCCGCGAAATTAAAAAAAAGAAGTACTTAGGCGTTGCGCTCAGGCGTACCGCCTTGTTCCTAACTTTAGAACATCGGAAACTTCTGTTAGCAACTTCTTGTGTCCTGGCAAAGTGTGCGAATTAAATAGTTACGAATTGCTTGCACTCGATCGCGCTACCCGTATTTCTCCCGCGTTCCAAATCCCGTCGCCGATTTGTAACGCCCTTTATTGCAAATAAATTTCACGGAACAATGAAATCTCAAATGGTTACGTTCTCTCTCTATCAGGGAAACTAATTTTTCTATCATTTAGAGCTTCGCCAATAAATTCTCCTTAAAGATCCGTACTGAATTCGTTGCAAGCTTCAAAAAACTGAGAAAAATTAAGTAGTTTCAAATTAAATTAAGTCAGCCTAAGTTCCTACTTTGCCAATACTTAAAATTCTTTGCTTATATTTCGTAACTTTCTTCTTATTCTTATCAAGTTTCTACAAATTATAATTAACTCTTTATTGGTAATAAAGTGCTAATTATTAAAGTGTACTTAATTAATTACAAATTGCTTATATATCAAACCTATTTTTCCTTACATCATTGCATGTTTTACTGCAATACAAGTTTTAAAAAATAGTAATGTATTTTTCCTTTGTCATTTGTAAAACATACTTTTACAATATTATAAAAATGTTCATAATTTACAAAAATTAAAATAATCGAGTCATAGTTTTTCCCGTAAAAAAATATTTCGTAATTTGTCATTGCAAAAAATAATGCTGTTCAATGCAAAATGGTTTCCTAATTCCCACAAATAAGGAGATATGAAAATTACGTGCTCCTTCAGATAGATTTAATTCGCATTCTTCTTGCTGAGAACCTGCCGCTGATTTGCGACGCTTTTCCGACCACGGCGAACATTCCGAAAAGCTATGAGAACTCAGAAATTACGAACCTCTTCGACTGAACCTAACGCGTATATATCTTTCAGTACCCTGATAACGAGGATTCTTCTAAGAAGTTCTAAGTAGAAATGGCTGAAAATTTCTGTACTTGATTTTCTAGAAAGTATTTCACAAAGCTAAAAATACAAGATTGCTCTTATTTAGCATTTTATAAGTTCCAATATCAAGCAAAGAGAAAACTAAGAAGACAAATAATCGAATAAACTTATCTCATTTTTTGATATTTTTTTCTTGTATTCGATTTAAAGTTAATAATCATAAAAGCACAATTTATTTTTTGCCTTTTCTTTTACTTTCGTAATTTTATATATATATAGAAATTTAAAAGAAAATAATGATATTAGTCGCGTGTACTATCCGTCTCTCTTCCTTTACTTTCCTCCTAATTAATTTTTTGGTGTCCTCCTCTCAGACAATTCTCCAAGAGAACATTTTCTCGTTTCCGAACCCTTGTAGCTACCTTCACTGCTTACCAGGCAGCTTTCGAGACCTTGTTGCGCAGTGGCGGTCGGCAGCTGGTTTTCCTCCGAAAAGACGATGAAGCTCCGGAAATGACCTCTGTTACGCGCTTTGTTTGTTCCTTGCCGAAAAACGTCTAGCCGACCCAACGACCGTTTAATTTTTCTTCAACGCTCCGCGCGATGTCGGCAATTTCCGAAAGGGTCGTTAACACGGATCGTCTCTCCACCTTTGTGCTCGTTGCCTTAAGGAACGTTACAATCTTCTTTTATCGCAAATAACTAACGCGACGCTCTTTCGGATCTATTAAGGCGAATGCGGGAGAATGCATACTCCGTAACGATTCCGTACTCCGTTAGAAATCGCCAGCTGAGCAATTTTCGCAGAACCGAACCATCGTCGTATTTTCCCCCCTTCTCTGTTTCTCTCCCCTTCGTTCTCTCTCCCTCTTTCTCTTTCTCACCGCGATAACGAAAGAATGACAGGATGGAAGGGGGAAACGACGACTAATTGGAAAACCGACGCGGGGATTAAAGATTTCCTAGACCCGCCCTTTTCTCTCGCGGCGACAGCGAGGACGGGCGCTTAACTGAAATTACGTCAACTGGCGAATGCGGTTGTACATTATCGACCGACGTAATTGGGTATTCGTTAGAAATAAATGGCCGCTAATGTTATTTCTGACAGGTATCTCTCTGTCTCTCTCTCTCTGTCTCTCTTTCTTTCTCTCTCTCTCTCTCTCTCTCTCTCTCTCTCTCTCCAACCGATAATGCACGCTGGTTGAAACGATGAAAACATCATAAACCCGATAGCACGCGGTCCACTCTCTCTCTGTCTCTCTCCCTCCCGCGGTAATGATCGGACAGTTTAATCATTTACTACGCTCTGGCGAGGGTCGCCGCGGTGCTAACTGGAGGAGAATCCGCTGAAAATCATCACGGCGAGAATCCGGCGTGGCGCCCCGTCGCACTGTTATGCTTCAGTGTCATTAACACGGAAGACAATCTTGTGATAAACTTCCGGCAAACAGTGAAATAAGTTGCGCCGTAAATCATCAGGTAGGTCCCTTTCTTTCTTGAGCCCCGTGAAACTGCAGGATTTGTGAACAAGAGAAGAGAAAGTAAAAATATACTTTTCCAAATATCCATTATGCTCTAATAAGCTTTAAAACAAATATATCCAATGAAACTGACATTGTACAAAAATAAATGAAAATTTTTGCACGTATTGTCGCTGCGACAAGCATGAATTATTATATTATAAAAATCAAGCTCAAAATTTTAATGGTTTTTTTCAGTCGAGATCGTGTTTCAAATAATAATCATATCTTATTACATTCGCGTAATAATGAGAATAATAATTTTAACAAAGTTGTAGCTGCTGATATATCATTATCTATCATTATTTGTCCTTTATCAAATATCACAAATCTTGGGGTCTCACGAAATGCGGCTTCACGCTAAAATTTCTTATCACGTCTCCGTTACGATTTTATAGCGAGTGATTCAATTGTTGTCGGCGTAACAGCGGTCCGGCAATACTTTCGAAATGAGTCGATGCTGTAATGGCGGTTGTGTTATTACCTGCGATGCGTACTGCATTTAATGTTATACGGATGTCAATGCCGTGGGTAGGGGTGCAACGGGATTGGTAATTGTTGTTTACAACGCGCTGCCGCCCGTCATTGTGTACCGATGACGGTGAATATTGTGCTGATGGAAAATGACGGATTTTATTAGCGATGCGAAAGGAAAGTTGATCAAACGTCAATTGTCACATGTAACCCATGCGTGTAGCTTAAATTTTGTTTATTCAATATTTCGCCGCGGGAGAAAGAGAGAAAGAAAGGAGGGGGGGAAAAGAGAGGGAACGCTTGACGGACATTGTGGCAATCTGGAACAGGTATTTTTGATTAAATCGACGAACGGTTTGACATAATTATAAATAAATTATAATTCGCAATAATTCCCCGCTGCCCGCTCATCAACGTATGTCGCCGTTACTTTTATTTATATTTTAATAGACACTGTTGTCTTGACATTTCAATACAAAGCGCTTATTAATTGCAACGAGGAATAAATTCCACCATCGTAAATAGCGATCGGCTTAAATCCGATTTACACAAATAACCTCATTCAGTTCACTTTGGCAAACAATGAAACGCCGTACACAACTGGCGGCGATATATTTTTGGGATTATTCCGACGATGCGCCGTAAATGTTTTCCCGGCGGTGTATATTCCATTGTTCGATCACCGTGCGATCTCTCAATTCTCGCAAAGTTCGATATTCTAACGTCGTGAAAAAAGCCCGATATCTTCTAATGTCAACATATATTATCTCGCAGCTGCTCGCCTCTGCGTGTAAGGGTCGCGCGTATATCTTTGCCAGCGCGGCGTGCGGTTCTCGCGCGAGGCGGAATATAGGGATCGATATCGTCCATCTAAGTAGATTAACGATCGAATCATTTATATTAAATTGTATTTGACTTTCTACCGATCCCGCCTCACGTTTCTCCCATCGCATCGCCCTCATACCGGGGATCTCCGTGTGCGGTTAATAAATGATAATAGTGTGTTGAAGAGAATAATCGCTGCAGCGATCGCGTTAAATCTAAAAGTTTGCGCTGCGTCCACATTTCAGCGCCGTTCTCCGCCGTACTTTACGTAAAAGAAAAAAAAAAATTAGCATTTACATTTTTATATGCACTCTCAATATATTAAACGAATTAGAGACTATTTGCATACGATGTTAAAAATAATGCGTTTCTTGATATGATGTGAAGTATGTAAATTCGCTCGTGCTGAGCGCGCGCGCGATATATCTCTTTTATTACAAACGGGTGTACAATGTTATAAAAAAATAATGGAACACGTTCGGTTTTTATATAAAATACGAATAACGCTATTATAGTCTGTAATAAATGATAGACGCGAACGACGTCAACGTCGAAAACATTTTTGACACGCGCGGCGAAAAACGCGCAGCGAATTTTCGGGGACACAAAAAATAAACTGGCTGAACCTTTTTCACGCTTTGAAATCAAGTTTTTCCGCATGCAGCGCGGTACAAATGTATCTCGGTTGAAGTATCTCCCGTGACGTGGAGGTGCAAAGCTTATCCGTTCCGGCCAGCTTTTGGTATTAATCTGACCGGGCATAAATCTCTCACTAATCCACGTAACACTGTAACACCGGCTAGCGCTACAACCGACGCCGCTGTTGTTATTGTAGCGGAGAAATACGAAACTTGTTGAATACGTGTACTATTCGGAAGGCCCGGCAGTTACAGGAGCGTAGTGCTCGCAATTACCCATCCGCTTTTACAGCCGGTCGATCGATCCTAAGTGCTCTCTTTAAAGGAAGAAATCGAGTAATTCGAGAATCGCGCGCACCCGGCTCGACTAATTTACATTTTAATCGGTGCGACTCCCGGGGGAGAGATAATTGCATCAATTTCTTTTTTCTTTTCTTTTATTTTTTTCTAATAAAACCCAAAGACCGTGCTTTGCAGATTATATCTATTTTACATCGGGAAGAGAAGAACTCTATCTCGTGTGTTTTACAAAAACCTCTCCACGTAAAAGGAACTGTTCGATCGTCTCACGATTACCCGCTATCTTTTCGCTTGTCGCCATTTGTAAAAGCGATATGTACAAGACGTAAAGATTGCATCGCATCCGGCCTTCGTCGGCTATGGCGCGGCTATTCTTGGCCGAACGATTTTTTTCCTTTTGATCTTAAATCACTCCACCTCGCGCATAAAGCGTGGAATAATTCAGATGCGACGGCTTATCGCACTTACAAGGGCAGTCGATTTTCACAGGGGAACGAGGTCAGAGACGGGAGCTCGAGAATTTTTCCGGAAATTTTACCGCAACGATCTCCATCGTACGTGACGATTGAATTTGCACCCGACGGCCAGAGAGAGAGAGAGAGAGAGAGAGAGAGAGAGAGAGAGAGAGAGAGAGAGAGTTGCGCAACGTTTGCAGATCAAACTGAGCAAGTTGAAATTACAGGAGCGCCGCGACGGCGATGCCACATACCGGAATGGATAGAGAGGGATATTTATCTTCCGCGCCGCGCTGCCGGTCGCTCATTAATTTTCTTTCTACAAGGGTCGCCGAGGAGCAGCTTTGACTACCGTTGAAAATACAAAACCGGATATCACGTCGTTATCACGTGCGCCAGCAAGTCACCGCAACCCGCGTCGTGACGTCATCGTTATCCTAAGAGATTAACACTCGCCGTTGATTGATGTTTATTTCGGCGGCGGCGGTGCGCTATTGCCCGAGTCGCGCGTTAATTATCGGAGCCTCGCCCTACATTTTGCTCCGCGGAAATAATCCACTGCAGCTCGTTTCCGGCTGCGGACGGAGAAAAGGAGGAGGCGGTTGGCCGGCCAGAAGCGCATCTCGTAACTTAATTAGCGGGAGAAACTGAGGTCTTTTTCCATCTTCCTCGATCATTTGCCGGATCTAGGGGATTGTACAAAGTGAGGCGTTTCGGTTGTAAATTGAATCTTTCGCATCCTGATTTCATTTCAATTTCTCGACAAGATAATTCGAACTCCTTGCGTATAATGTAAAATACTGCCCTTTGACCTAACAAGTTTTTTACCGATTCCGGATTCTGTTACCGTTGTAATCTAAAAAAAGTTTGCATGAAAGTTTCAGAGAGGCCACGGTTTTTAAATGAGAAACGTTATTTAATAATGTTAAGTACTTATTTCTATATTCCGCTACGTTACGTTCGCATGCGCCCGCGCGCGGCCCCTCCATAAATAATACTCTCCCGTCCTACATTATTATGCTCTTCGACTTTCATCTCCGATCATAAATCTCTCAAGAGGAACTCCGCATGACGTTCATGAATTAATTATTTTTACACATTTGACGACAAATTTGTTTCGCTGGCGCGCAAATCAAATATCCTTTTGCAGTTTTGCAAATCCGTTTCCCCTAAACAGAAAAGCCACTCCACCTGTCGCGTTTCTACTTGTATATTCTAACTTGGAATCCTCGAAACCCTCGGGTCACACTCGAACGGTCTGTACGACAACGCCGACCGGATCCAATTGAATATAACCGAATAGAGAACGCGTCACAGGATAACGGCGAGGCGAGACGTTGTTTTCTCTGACGTTGGGGAGAGACACCGCTGCGTCCCCTATTTCGTATAAAGCAATGTAAAGTATATACCGGGGATTCAAGTGGTGTGAGATTTTTAATCTTGGGAAGAGCTCCGTCCTTCCGGATGGCACACCGATAGAGAAACACTGTGAAACTTTATCAACCGTAGCTTCGAGGAACGAGCCGCCGTCGTTACTTACAATTCTTCGTTATTAATCGTCGCCGCGTCGGCGCTGCATTATGCATCGGGGTTGCTATTTAATTTGGCGAACGTTTAACCGATAATTACGGGGCCCATTTCACGTAGATATCGATTTCTACGCAGAGCTCACGCCGTATTTCAATAAATGAGCGTATTACAAATCTTCTGTTATTATTGAAGCGAATGAACGCAGCTGGTGGATAATAATATAGACCTTTGGCGCGAATTAATTTCAAAAAGTGCAAACTATACGCCGCGGAAAAAAGAATGTGTTAATAAATCTGCGATATCTTACGAACCTTTCTCCACACGATTTCAGAAATTCTCCTTCCAAAGTCAAAGAGGAAAATGTAATGCAAGCAATATCACAAGATAACCGATTATCAATTCATGCATTTCCCGAAAGGTGTTTTCTACATTTTTTAAAAATACCGACAGTTTTATATTACGAAACCTTCAAAAGACGAAAAGTAATTAATAATGTCTTATTCCAGGGCTCTTTCATTTCATGAATTCCATACGCGTCAAACTTGAAATTGCGCTTCATATTTCAAAAGTAGACTCTTAAAATGCTCATTATCCAAGTTTCTATCAGCCGGTCATGATTCTTTTACTGCGGAATAAAACTGGTTTTATTTCAAGGAGAACTGATTTTATTTCAAGCATGAAACGTACCATTGTATTATGCAAATCCATCACTTAATTCATTCGTTAGAATATTAATG